CAATTTATATCCGAACGAAAAAGTTGGTATGGATATGCCTCAAAAATAAATTACCCAAACTTGATTTTTCTATAATAAGTGTAGTTCAACCAATACCCAAATACCGGATCTTTTTCCATCCCTACTTGGGGCAATTGGGCAGAGATGCTCCTGCTTCTTACTGTGCATTTCTAGGCAACATTATTTTTCTTGGTTCTCTTCAATCATTGATTCCAATTGACAATTAGCATTCTCAACCAAACGACCATCGTACCTTAGCAGTAGTAGGATAATGAACTTCAAAAGATTTAGTGACAATTTGTTACCACCTCACGACCATCATATTTTAGCAAAGACGTAATAACCCATAAAAAATACCCATCGCTGAGCTGCTGACTTCTGTTTCAGTTTTACTTATATGTTTTTATGACACTTTAATTTGTGATTGTATTAGGATTATTGGATGAAAAGTTAAAAATGTTAAATATTGCCAATTCACCATAACTACTAGCTAGTGTACTCTACCAGTTACCATTAAGTACATGACAAATTTGCACAAGTTATACAAATTGATTGAACACTTTGACAAGTACATATACAATGAGAAATTGACTAAAAATTGTGGAAAAAAATGTTTTAGATTACTGTAATAAAATGTATAAGTTGTAGTAACGAGTAAGTAACTTGATGCACTAACCCGAAAGAACCCGCAACCTAATCCTCCGAACCCACCTGTCTCGCAACCCTATCAACCTGTAATAAGATTGACATGTAACTTGATTGGCTTTGCAACCCAATGAACCCATAGCCTGGGTAACCTGCAACCTGACTATCCCGCAATCCGATGAACCTGAAACCCGACAAACCACAACCTACTTGTACTACTACCGATTAACACCCCTGTTTTGGCTTAGGGAGTTCATGTCTCATGAACAAGAGGAGACACCAAACGAAAAACTTAAAAAAACCCTAGTTCTCAAATCATTCATATGCATGGTATGGTAGGGTTGCAGGGGCTTTCACGCTACGTCTTTTGCATGCCTGCTACATTGCAATTAGACATGGTAATGGGTAGATTCATAGGAGTAATTTGATCTAATTGTTATTATTCATATGGGTATTGCATTGGATACAAATGTACTTATATATAATATTAAATTTGTGTTGCATTTAATAGTTTGTGAGAATAAAAAACTCACATTAATTACATTCTTTTTCTAGTGCAATGATAGTTGTATCAGTGCAAATGTAGTTGTGTTAGTGCAATGATACTTTTTACTAATGCAATGATACTTTTTTAGGTGGTCAGAGGGAGTCTGTCGGAGAAAATCTGGTCGGAAGGAGTCTGCCAACGGTAGTATGACCGGAAGGAGTCTACCCTGAAAAGGAAAGAAAGCTGTTGGGAAAGAAAAGAGTGGAAAATAGAGGGAGATGTAATTAATATAGGTTTAATTTTGAGAAAGAAAATGTAATTAATATGGATTTTTAATTCTCAAAGACTATTAAATGCAACACAAATTTAATACCCAAAAAAACTATAATCAATAGGGATGTCATTTTTCAACTCATGTGAAGATAGTCAAGCCAACTTATCCCTACCACCTAACCTAATTATACACCTTTAATTTAGGTGTTTCCACTTTCTATTCTTATATATAAAGCTAGAGTAGTTTTACTGTTGCCAAAACAAATTACAAATTAGTACCTATAATATTTTATATTTTAATAAACAAAATTTAATTTTAATATGAAATCATTGAATAAATATATTTTTGTAACTATATTTTATGACATTTTGGTACCTACAATTTTTAAATTTATATATTGGTCCAATGTCTAGATTTCGCTTGAATTCATGGATCCAATCCACCAATCCTTTTACACCAATCCATGAATCCAATCCACCATAACTTAAAAGTATAAATTTAGTTTGTATCATACAAGATGTTGTATCACTAAATTGTAGGAGAAGATTCGATCATTTTATAATTACTCATTACGTAAAATATTAATAAATGGTAAAAGAGAGACGACTCTAAATATTGTAAGAGCGAATTTATAAACTCATTTAGTACATTTACGGGTACTAAACAAACTTCTATTAACTACATGTACCAAAATATGCGACACCTATAGGAGTGTGCAACGGTTCGGTTCCGTCCGAACCGACCATTAGTGAAAAGACATCTTAGGACCAAGGACCGGACCATCATTGCATTCGGTCCATTTGGTTCAATTCAGTTCGTTCTAGTCCAAATATCAGTTCGATCCATCATTACTTCAGTAATTGTAAAACTCATGTGGACCAAGGACCAGACCGCATTATACTCGGTCTGATCCTGGACCGGACCATTGCACACCCCTAGACATCTAAATAAGCAAGTATAAATAAATTTTTATGGTGAAAAGGGTTGACTGTTGTATTGACAGCCAACTAAAAGAATTTGTCAAAACTTATCCATCTTCTACTTTCTCTTCGTTTCATTTGTCACTCGCCTTCCATAGCTCTTTCTTTATTTCTTTCTTTGCTTTCTTTGTCTAGCCCTAATTAGTATACTATTTTTATGTATTCTAATCACAAGTATCAACGGGTCCATACACGACTCACCATCAGTCTATAGAATTAATAATTTAACCATGAACCACGAATTTGTTTAGCTCAATGTCGAGTCCAAGTAAAAACACATATATATGGTTATTACTTATTAGAAAATCGTCGTTTTCTACTATGGTATTTGAAGGCTTGAAATTTTAAACGACTTCAAGTTTGTATTCATTTTGCTTCTCTCTAGAGTTTTTCTTTTTTCACCCGGGCTAGAATTTTCTACAATTACATGGAATGTTTGACTAGGTATCTACACATATCAAATAAATACTTTCCATTTTTCTATAAAAAATTAAATAATTTTCATCATAAATACATCACCATAAAAGGAATTAATCCTCAACTATGCAAATTAAAGTTTGGTATCTAAACTTAATAGATATTTAGATTTATAACATAAATTTATTTTTTTGGCATATAAGTCCTCAAAATATTGTTGGAACATTACATTCTAGTACATAAAATATTTATGTATTACATTTTGGTACCTAAACTATTGAAGTTCTACAAATAGGTCTAATTTTTGTATGTGTAATTAAAATACCCTTGACTAAATGGGTATTCATACTCAACTCATACACATTTAGATTATGAAAGTAAATATCCACACCCTACCCAAACTCATCTACAAACTTCCAAACCCATATATACGTCACCCATACCCTACCCATAATCAATGGGTCTACTTTGGTTTAGGTAAATATCATTTATTAGCCAAAATTTTAAATTATTTTAAATTGGATGTTGACCGCCATATATCTCTTCCAAAATCATAATGTCAAGTCAATATTACTAACAAAAATACTAACAAAAAATTAATTTTATACTAATAAATAATAATACTAACAAAACATAATAACGGATCACATAATACATGCCATACGCCATCTTCCCCGCGCCAAGGCGCGACATCGCCACCTAATTAGTATACATAAACTTAAAACATAGTTACTGTTCACTAATCCCTTGCCATGTAGAGATATGTGTGAGAGAAAGAAGAGAGGATCCTCTCGGTTCCCAAAGAAAAAAAAAATGATTTGGAAGAAATGTAAAGGACCAATAAAGGAATTGTTTGATCGTCTTTCTCCGAGGTGCATGGTACCTAAATTAGCCTTTTTCTTATGGGTTATATCATTATGGATACTTTGAGTTCAAGTAAGAAATATTATTTTAGTGTAATATTATGTGTTATCATTTATATGTTAGGATGAGTAAAAATAGAAGAAATATAATTAAATATTGAGATCAATCAATGTAAAACGTGTTAAGAATGGATGAGATAGGATTGCGCAGGACGAAAGTAGTCCGTATGTCCATCCACGGTACTAAGTGCCGCGCCCCACAAAAATTAGGTCGGGTAATACCCGGCGGGACGGATTCAAATTGTCATTACTACTATTAATTTTATTATAGCTTTAAGTCTTTGTTGTAATTGTTTTAACACGATTTTTCAAATTGGCTAGCTTAGAAGTAGTCGAAAGATTTGAGAAATTACTAGGCTGAGATAGAAGGAGATAAAATAACTATTGAATTTGGATGGTGATAAGTGTGATCCACATAGTAAGAACTTATTTATTTATTTATATCTTTTTTTTTTATTAAATAGGAGGCATAACAGCCAACAGGAACCGATTACAGCACTTCACAAAGCCTCAAGAGCCAACAGGAACCGAGCAGATTTCTATCAAAAAAAAAAAAAAAGCCAACAGGAACCATGCGATGGAAATTGTCGCAATTAATATTGGTATAATGTTCACCTACAAATTATATTTTTCTAGCAATTCAAATTATATTCACATGTGTATTCTTTTTTACATAAATCCACTAATCAGAATTTCACCAAATTCCATCATTAAGATCAACTGATTCCACAACTCCACCAACCATACTTTACGAGGTGTTTGGTACGAATTCAAATGTTATAACGATAAAAAATACAACTCCCCATTATTAAACATGAAAATAGAGTTGGAAAATTTCATTTTGCACAAATTGTAACATATGTAAGTTTCCCATTTATTAAATTTCATTCTCGACAAGCAAAAAAGTTTCTCCTATTTTCCAAATTAATTTACCACTTAAAACATATTTTCAAATCATAACTCCATAAAACCAAATCAACAGGCATGCAAAATCAAATATTACAACGAACAAGTCAAATAATCGCAGCAAAGTGCGGCATGCCATATAGTTTGTTTCATAAAAAAGACAAAAATTACTTTATAATTATTTACCCGTTTTCTTTTAAACATGCCTTAAAAATAAATTACCTAAACTTGATTTTTCTATAATAAGTTGAGTTCAACCTATACCCAAATACCGGATCTTTTTCCATCCCAACTTAGGGCAATTGGGCAGAGATGCTCCTGCTTCTTTCTGTGCATTTCTAGGCAAAATTATTTTTCTTGGTTCTCTTCAATTATTGATTCCAATTGACAATAAGCATTCTCAACCAAACGACCATCATACCTTAGCAGTAGTAGGATAATGAACTTCAAAAGATTATGTGACAATTTGTTACCACCTCACGACCATCATATTTTAGCAAAGACGTAATAACCCTTAAAAAGTACCGATCGCTGAGGCGCTGACTTCTGTTTCAGTTTTACTACTACTACTACCGACCAGCGATACGATAAAGGATATCATGGGGGAAATGTTCGGCAAACCTTAGCCACTTCCCAAATCTCAATGGCTTCACTAGCATCTAGTTCCACAATACGTTCCACCAAGTACGTATCCTCGGAAAATTTTATTCCCCTGTCCCCAAGTTACGGAAAGAATAGGAGGACTTCGAGTTTTATATTCCCCTTGCGCTCGCAAGACCTATGTAGACTCTGTCACCACATGAATGGCATTTGCCAAATACCGAACATTGCCCGTCGTCACGCCAGCCATACTGCATTACAGTTTTACCACCATGTCAAATAGTACACAACAGAGGATAGAAAGCAAACAGACGAACTTAGGGCAAGCCTTGCCAGCGCCAATTTCTTATACCATATGCATGTATTTGAAATTAATAGTCACAACCATTCATGAACCCAGGCATACCTGATTCGACCATTTCGGGTCATGTAGATGTGAAATTCTTTTGTCAAACGATCAACTTGTTCTGGCGTCATCCCACTGTAGCAGAACATACCAATCTGGTGGACAGGTTTATGCATCCATCAGTTAGAGCAGCACAAAAAGGAAAACTAAACATGTTGAAGACTGTCCCTACGAGAAGGCTACGGCAGAAAAGAAGCCTAAAGCCTTCTACAATTACCTGTTCGGTGATGTGCTTCCACGACAGTGATGAGCCCAAATTTTCAAGATTTTCTCGGAGAGCAGTTCGCATTCCAATGATGCGATCAGCCATTCCCTAATGAATAACAAGAGCATATTATGAGCCCCTATTTGGTTATATAGATGGGATAAGGGACACAAAGGATGAACCATTCTACAGGAACCATCTCCGGACGTGCAAAATCATACAACTGAAGAGAGTTCGACTCATGGAAATCGAAATACCTTCACTTCCTTGAGCCATAACTGCTTCAGTTCCGGATCGCCAAGGATGGTTGAAACGATTAAAGCGCCATGAACAGGCGGATTGCTGTACATGGGTCTAGCAATCATCTGTAACTGACTTTTCACTGCCACAGCTTGTTTCTCATCTTCACACAGAACACTGCAAACCAACATATTAGACAAATAAAAGTCAGATGATAAAACTTTTCATCAGAAAAGAGTTCACCACTTGTCAATTTAAAGATGGGAGTTATGTAATGCATGTCAGCAATTTCAAAGGACTCCTGCCAAACTCTACCTAGATTTTTGTTATACAATAGCTTCCAGTCACTTTATCTTTGAATTCTTACCTGAGGCATCCAACCCTCTGGCCATAAAGTCCCATGTTTTTGGCATAAGATTGTGCAATGCCTATAAAATGACCATCCTCGAGGAATATCCTGATGGATTTTGCATCTCTTTCTGGATCACCACTAGCAAATCCTTGATATGCCATATCGAAGAGGGCAAAATGACCTTTCGCCTGAAAGTTACATTTTTATGAAAAAGTTCTAAGGAAAATAAGCTGTAAGTTATAAGTATTGCCATTTGAGCCTTAGAGCTTTGCATGCTATTAATGTCTACCAGAACTGCAGTCTTGCATTGTAATAATGAATTACATCTCAACATCCAACCATCTATTTCATGTTTGCATTCTGTCTTGACATTTTTCCTATTACTTGGACAGATCAACAGAAACACAAATTTATCACATGTATACAATGGATCATAAGCTCTTCCATTCACTGGGAGCAAGCCCAGTGCAAACTATTAAAAAAACTGCCTTATAGTAATGCTAATACGGCTAAAGAAAGAAACAGTTTATAGGCTCTGATTATTATCACAGGAAAGGGAATCCTAAGTGTACCTTGAATTGCTGTGAGATCTCTCTCCACTGTTCCTCTGATGGATCAACCCCAGTAGGATTATGAGCACACGCATGAAGCAAAAAGAACGAGCCACTTGGAGCATTCTGCAAGTAAGATTGCAACATTATACAGGTAAACAAAAAGTAGCTAAAAGAATAAAAAAACAACTAAATTAAGATAAGAATAACAACTAGAATATAGTTGTAACTAATCAGAATGAAAAGTATTGATCATAACTAATTGAATGATTCATCATCAGGATAAGCCTAAATCAAAGGTCCAACCTAAATGACAGCTAGCAATAGCATACCTTAACATCATCCATCAACGAAGCAAAATCTAATCCCCTGGACTCAGCATGGTAGTAATGATAGGTCCTCTGAGGCACTTGGGCATCTCTCCAAATGTTATGGTGGCTGTTTAAAACAAAATGTTAGAAGCTGTGGGGATCTATCAATTGAAAATGGCCCCAAGTTCCGCGAAACCTTACTTGGACCATGTCGGAACAGGAATATAGATTTGGGATTCAGGACGGAAACGCTTTTGGAACTCCGCGAAAAGTCTGCATGCACCAGTCCCTGACAGAGCTTGCACTGCAGCAACCCTTTTGTCTTTAATAAACTCGGAATTATCTCCATAAGCCAGCTTCAGTGTTTCTTCCACCATTTTCACGCTACCACCCATGGGAAGATACTCCCTGCTCGGCGTTGAATCAGAAATTAGGAAGAGAGAAAGAGGTAAGATCGCAACCATAGAAAGCAGGAGTAGGAAATATTGAAGAGCTCAAGGCATTGTAGTTGGTTTGACCATCGAGATAAAAGAAAAGAGACCTGCACCCATGCTTCTAAAATCATAATATTGATCGGGATATCAACTCTATCCTTGTTTCTTTGACTTCAGATTTTCAGAACTCCAACAATATTAGAATTCATAACTGAATTAGAAACACTACCCTCATGACAGCAAGGTCATAACGCGATAAAATTTTCTTTTGAAACATATCTAAGCTTTGCCACAAGCTAAATTGGAGTTCAGTAACATTCACAATCGGTCCGCTGAGGAGAGAATTCAGATACAATTCAAAGCAAAAATCAGAGAACCGCGGCAAGAGCCAGAAGGCAAGAGCGACATATAAACAGGCTCACATGTTCATGCTACCGGCGATCCTCCGCTCCGCTTCTCTGACGCATTCCAAAACCACCGGCTTTCCGTTATCATCACGGTAGGCTCCCTGCAAATAACACCAATCCGCCGTAAGAAAGAAATCGGTTCTACGAACGTCAGTCCAAATAAGAGAAATGTGAAAATAAGATCAAAGAGGTATCGCCATCCGTAGCTCTCAGCATCTGATGAAACGATCCGATCCTCTAAATTAGAAAGAGAATTGAAACGAGGACACACTCACAACTCCAACATTGACTTTATCTGGACTGGGATCAGCGAGGAAAGCTTCCGTAACGCCGAGAATCGGATCCTTGGGAGCGGGCTCCACGCTATGCCACCACGACGACAAAGCCCTGCTGGATCCAACGCCGGCGGTCCAGCTCCTCTGCCGAGCTAATCGCGAGGCGACAGCGTTCCAAAGCGCCATAACTACAAAAAATATATTTCCTCAAAGTCCCACAGCCTGCTGCACGGCGAGAGAATGGGCGTTATAGCCGATGAGTCTAGCGGAGCCGGGCGGTGGTATAAAGTGTGTAGCGAAATGACAGAAACGCTAGCGGGCAAGTATTTATTGCCACCAGTGGCAGCCTCGAAATGCGTGAACGCAGGGACGAGAAATCCCGTTTGCCAAGATGTGCAAGGTGGAATGACCATTTCCTCCTTGTGGCCGTTTTAGATGCTGGTTTGGTAGTTCAAGAATTTGTTTTTGGCATTTTGCTTTATCCGTTCCGCTTTTCTGTGTGACCACTTGCAAGTAGGGATGGGACTTGGGAGGAAGTAATATTCTGTATTTAAGGGTCGTTTAGCAATGTGCAATATAGGGATTGCAACAAAACCCCCAACCAATGTGCAATAACGCGAGTAAAATTCGTGTTGACGGGTTTTTGGCCGGGTTTGGATTTAAACCCGTTCACTATTAACTGGGTTGGGCTGGGTTTGGGTTTAGGTAAACCCGACCCATGGGTATCCGCCCCACACTCATATAATAAATTTTCTCAGTATATTTAATATTCTAAACAACTAATCTTATTTATGTTTGTGGAGACATGTCTAATTTTTTCTTTCTAATTGTGTAGAATGAAGTTGATGTTATCGAGTGGAGAGTGAAGAAACTTAATTGAAAGGAAGAAGCTTATAATTGATCATGTTATTTATGGATAATTTGTGATTTGCTTCAATTTTCTTGAGTTTTCTAGATTGGTGTTGAACAATTTGTATAGTTGATTTGTTATTTGCTTGAATTTTCTAGAATGGTGTTTTATATATGAATAATTTGTATTGAGAAATTGATATTTGACTTTAATTTTGATAGAAACTTGTTATTGTAAATTTTTTACGACAAAAACCCGTGGGTACCCATGAACCCGCGGATACCCATCGGGTTGGGATGGGTTTGAGTTTTTCAAACCCAGTGGGTTTTACCCCGGGTTTTTTCACGGATAAACCCATGGATTTGGGTTTGGCAAAACTCGACCCAACCCGGCCCATTGCCATCCCTAGTGCAATACATTATACTAGGGGTGGGCATCGGTTCGGTTCAAACCGAACCGAACAGGAGTATTCTGGGTCCTCGATTCGCAGCAAACTTCAAACCGATTTCGAACCAAAATTTATTTCGGTTCGGACTGGTCGAACCGAAATATATTCGGTTCGGAATCGGTTTTCAGGTTTAACCCGAATTTGCACCCTTTCCCCTTATGTTCTGCGTCAAAAGCCTCAAAAAAGGCAAAACCATTTATTTAGCCCTTTCTCTTCCAATCCTGATTTCCCCATCTCCTTCTCTCTCTTCTCTTCCCCTCAATCGCACACCGCCGACTACCTCCAACTATTCCTTCTTCCCTCTCTAGTACCAGCATCAGTCATGGGAAATCGCCACCCCAGAAGCGTCATCATCTTCTCCTTCACCTTCTCGCCCCGGATTCTATCTTCCATTCGCCTTCAGATCCGACGCCTAAACCTCTCTCCGGCTTCAACCAATCTCTGCTCGCTCCGTCTGTCTCCTGCTGCCGCCACTACCTCCCTCCTCCGCCTCCTCTTTGTCTCTCGCTCTTGGAAGAATCGACAGAAGACGGTCGCCACCAATCCCTCTCTCCAGCTCTGGCCTCTCCTCTCTCCCCCGATCTCGAACTTCCCTCTCTGCATGCTCTTTGCTCCTCTCTTCTTCCGTCGTGGCGGCCGCTGTGTGAGATTTGAGGTGGGACGAGATGGGTTTTGTCTAGGGTTTCATTGGGCTGGGCTAGGGTTGAGGGTGAGAAGTGTGGGCGCTGTGTGAGGTGGGACGGGATGGGGGTTTGGGCATTGTGGGCCTAGGTTTTGTATTGCCTGGGCTCGGGTTTCAGTGGGTTGTGGGTAACAGAGTGGCTTAGAGTTGGGCTATTATGGGCAAATTTCGTTTTTCGGTTCGGAATTCGGATCTTCGGTTTCGGTTGAAGGAATCCTGGTTTCCGAAACAACCACATTTCTCTTCCGAATTCCGAACCGAACAATACAATTTCGGTTTTGGTTCGGTTTTGCTCAGTTACGGTTCGGTTCGGGTTTACCGAACCGGATGCCCACCCCTACATTATACACTAGCTTATTACTCGGCCCGTTGGTATGAATGTTCATATTTGATTATTCATATTTTTATGCTACGTTTAAGTCTATCAACCCGTTTAATTTTATTGACAATCCTTCGATTGAAATGATACATAAAGAAAGAATATATAGATCGAATATTCGGAAAAATACTATAATCATTTAAGAATATAAAATATATAAATGTATCATTGATCTAATTTTCATAGTGATAATTAAGACCCCGTTAAAATGTTTTTGGTTAGTTGATTGTCAAGAAAGATAGACTATAGAAGCTCACTGGAATTCTCACACGACTCATAGATATATAGTTTGAAACTGAATCTGAAACCTCACAATCCTACACAAAGAGTTCAGTACTCTCCTTTTAGGAATAATATGTCACTAATAAAAAAGAAACGGAAAGTTGTTGATTCAAATCAACTATATACTAACAACTCAACTAAAAGGGGATCGCCAAAACTTGAGAGCAAATGACAAAATTAGGGTTACCTCCAATATACTAGCTGACTCGATCAAAGTAATAAGGCACAAAAGTAGATGCTCCTTATCCATCAGTTCTAGTAGGTTGAATAAAGAATCGACCTACTTCAGTAAATTAATCAATGATTCCTCGTTTTAAGATAGAAATAGGTTGTGGTAGCTGCAAAACCCATAAACCTAGAGATCCAATAGCCACCACTCTCCGTTGTACAACCAAATTTTTATCCACTCTATCTTCAATCTCAAGAGGCATATATTACAACAAAAAATTCACTTCCTAATCCTCCTTCTGCAACTCTATTTCTACTACTTTGATGGACCTTCTCTCTGTGGCCCTCAATTTCTCTTCCAATTGGGGTTCTTGTAAACTCGCTCTATAACTCCTCAATCCTCTTCTCGTGTTTTGCCAACTCATCTTCCTCAAGGATAGTTGTAATAAGCTCACTAAAACTAACACTCATCTCCAATTCCATCAATATGCTCATCTCCCCCTTGTCTGCTTTCACATGCTTCAATCCACTTCCACACCCTTAAATTCCCTCTTCATTTTCATTAATATCCTCATAATCTCTCTCTTCAAATGTTCAAGTTTCGCTTCCATGTCTTTCAATACACCTCTCAATTTGATCATTACCCTTAACAACTCCCTCTTCTCTGCCTTCACCTGCTGCAGTTGAACTTTACATGCTTCCAAATCCAATCACAATTTCTTCCCTTGCCACTTCCCTTCCCAAACCCAATCTCAACGCTTCTATTCCAAGTTCAACACCCCCAACTCCTAGAGTGTTGCATGGAAGTTTAATTTTAGCAATCATTATGGTTTACCAATTAGATTAATAAACACTAAAAATATAAGCAAAATAAACAGTGTCTAACTAATCCTAAAACAATATCAAAATTTGATCGGTGAGCTGGACCATAAAAATCGAAATTCATGCGGAAATATTGTAATTGAAAGCAAACATTTTTTTCTGATTGTCTTATTTTATTATTTCAATAGCTAAGCATATAACAAAAATAAATTACAGGAAACAACCAACCAAGAAATTAGAAAAGGCGCTAGGAAAGTACAACTACCTCTGTTTCACACAAACTTCTCATTGGTTTCAATCAAATCTAACACCCAAACAAATGTTCAAATTCTTTTCCTATATTTTATAAATCAATCATAAACAACAAATTTAGATAAATTGGGAAGGAAATAATAGCCTACCATCAATGAACCTTCTATGAAGATAGAAAACTCATTGAAGTTAAAACCTACGAACAAAAAGAGCAATGACACAGTAGATCCACCGAGCTTCAAACATCGTATAAGGCAATAGGATCAAAAGAAATAGATCTTCTGCATGTTCTGCTCATGAGACAACGTGAAAACAAAAGTCTTTTTGTTGTTAATCAGAAAGATAAAACCATGAGACATAGAGAAGAAAGGAATGACTTACATATGCGAAGCGATTAGCCTTGGAGAAATATCTAAACCCCATTAAAGGTCAGTGCTTGGTATAGGAAGAGGAGTACATGCGAAAGATATAGCTGATCAAACATTGTGTTAAGCAATAGAAGCAGCAAAATAGTTCTTCTTGTAATTCATTGAGGAGGGACAGAACCATTAGGCGATGCCAGTGCAGAGGAATCGAGCGAGATAATTAAGACTATACATAACTACTTGATTGAACTCCACTCTATTCGCCATGTATTGATATTGGAGTTGAAATCTTCTACTTGACCCAACTCAAATCCGCAACAATAAAACTGTAGTGCCAAGAGATGCCGGAAGATTGATTTTCTAATGCGGCCTAATACTGGGAAGTGAAGGGGGGTGCAAGCTATTGCACGATAGAGAGATTTCGGAGCAAGTTAGAAAGAGATAAGAACAAAGATAAAGAAGCACAATATTTTAATTTAAATTGAAAAATCCAAGGACACAACACATAGTAAAAGATATAATTTCGTCCATGTTAGCCAATTATCAATTTATCTTTAGAGAAAATTAAGGAGAGAGCAAAAACTTTAAAATGGAGAAAATTACCTGGAACTCTATTATGAAAATTGAAGTATCAAGTACCATAAAAAATACATACGGCAGACTTAGTGCGCTTGCTAATCATAATGGGAAATTCCTTCGGTTTTCAGAGTTTAATTTCGTATATGTTTTGTATTAAAAAGATACAACAAATTCCTGTAGTGTAATTGGTTATGGCTGTTGTCTTTATTTAAGGAGACCTTGGTTCAAATCCTGATGTTTATATTTTTTATATGAAACAAATAACTGATTGTAAAGACAAAAATGCCTTTCCTACTTTCACTCTTGTTGCAGGAAATTTGAAAATGGAGAAAAATAGACAAAACTCTACCATATATTATTAGAGGATGTATTTTAAAATGTTGGTGTATTCTATAAAAAAAATATATTGGTGTATGGTGATTTCAATGTTTGATTTTGTGATAATTATTACAGTATTTGAATAAATTATATTAACTTTTAGTAAAATATCATTTTTCACTCTATGTTTTTACTTTTTAATATAAAAAGTAACACATTCAAATAGTTGCTAGTTAGTGGTATAGTTGGAACAAAATTTAACATAATATTATCACTCAAACTATCTCAACA